ATATCTTATTTTATATTTGTTTAACTATTCAACTTTTTTTATATCATATCATATCATATTCATCAAATAATAATGTTAATAATATATTTAATATCAACGTCACTTTCATTTATATAATAATGGGTTTCTTTAACCGTTATTGGTTCTTATTTGACATGTTGGATAGCTCTTTTCATAATAAGACATTATTAGCCTTCGTATTTCTGATGATGATCATGCTTATGAAGTTGACGTTTTTATCAAGACCTCAACCGAAACAGATTTAGCCGACATGAAATCTTACGTATGAAACCAAACACCAAAATCAAAAGAGTTACGGCTTCTGACAACTATAGTTTTTAATTACCAATAATAGATCATCTTTCATGCCAATTTTATTTCCCCTTTCAAATTATTTAAAATCATCCTCAACGCTACCATATACCATTATCGGGGTGACATCATAATATCAAAAATTAACCTTTTTTTTGCCACCATATGATATATGTGTTTGCAACTTTTTAGCCTCCCATACATAAAAGAACCGGTCAGCATAAAAAATCAACTTAGGGGACATTTGGTTCGCAGATTCTGAAGGAATGTGATGGAATTGGAATGTTGAATTCCATTGATCAAATTCAATTCTCTCGTTTGGTTCATTCTTTTTCATGGAAGAAATCTGATGGAATTGGAATGTTAAATTGTAATTTTTAAAAATGTCTGGATTTCTTCTCTCTATTGACTGTTAAAGAATCTCGCTAAATGATGGGTAGATTTAGGAGTGTATAGAAAACCGTCAACCCGTGAAACCCGTCCAACCCGACCCGTTAACAACCCAATTAAATTCAACCCCATCAAATCGCCAATGTTAGGGCTAGCTCAATCCGCCCAACCCACCATTAATATGAGCGATCAAATACAAACCACTTAGTTTGTACAAACCGTGCAAACCACCCCCATCCGTCGATTTCATTGTTTAATCTTATGAAATTTTTTCATGAAATTGTTTAATCTTGTGAAATTGTTTCATATAATACTTTTTTTTTGATGAAGTTGTTTCATATATGATTATGAAATTGTTTCGTATAATATTTAATGAAATTTTAATGAAACTGTTTCATTTATTTTTCTAAAATTAAAATAATGAAGATGATAATATCCATGATTAACATCTTCCACAATAAAAATGATTAATCAACCTCTCATAATTACAAAAAAATGAATAAAATGAAAAATTATGATTGGTTGAATGAGGTTTGCACGGTTTGTACAAATTTGGTAGTTTGCATTTGACCGCTCATATATATATATATATATATATATATATATATATATATATACACACACACACACACATAGGGGCTTAATCAAATGAGAATTGAGTTGTTTGTGGTAACTGTGAGGTCCAATATGAGTCAATCATTTAAATAATTAATGTTATATCCTAAAATAACATAAAGGGTAAATTAGTAATGTTATAATTATAAAACCCTAGATGCTCTAGGTACTCTTCTCCTTCGTCTACTTCTTCTCCAGCCACCCCTATCACCCCCATCTACTTCTTCATCAACGGTTTCCCCTTCCACAACCATCTCATCTTCTCCTTTATTAGAAAACCTTATCTCTCTTCTTTGATTTGGCCCCATGAAATCAACAACCCTTTATGGTTGTGCTTCGACCAGGTGTTGCCATGGGTAGTTGACTGTTTTTTCGCTTCGACCAGGTGTTGCCATGGGTAGTTGACTGTTTTTTCGGGTGTGCTTTGCCTATTTCCTCGTCCCTGTGTTTGTGTTAGTTCGTACGGTGGTGCATGGGTGCGTGCGTGTGTTGCGGAAGGTGAAAGGGATAAGGGAGATAAGGAGATGGTGCTGCAACAATGAATGGGTGGCCGGAGAAGATGGATTGGGAAAGGAGGAGACGAGTGAAAATTCTGTGGTACATGGTGGTACCCCAATTGGTAATACATTGGGTAATGGGTATCACAGGGTGGCCGGAGAAGATGGATTGGGAAAGGAGGAAACGGGTGAAAATTATGTGGTACATGGTGGTACCCCAATTGGTAATACATTGGGTAATGGGTATCACAGGTGGCCAGAGAAGATGGATTGGGAAAGGAGGAGACGGATGAAAATTCTGTGGTACATGGTGGTACCCCAATTGGTAATACATTGGGTAATCGGAGATCGGAGAGAGGAGAGAAAAGTTTTTTAAAAATACCTAAAATGCCCTCTAATTATAATTTTAACTCAAATTACCATAATTATTAATTTCTTTATTTATCCGTTGATTTGTTGTTATGATTGGACCTTACAGTTACCACAAACTAATCAGTTCTCCTTTAAATGGGCTATATATATATATATATATATATATATATATAGGGGCAGGTTCAAATGCAAACCATCCAATTCTAAAAAACCGTGTAAACCAATTTCGACCAATAAGAAAATTCCATTTTTTTAATTAAATTTAATTGATAAGGGTATTTATGTCATTTTACACAATTTTTTGATAATTAAGGAAGTTATTAATACATTTTATTTAAGGCAATTTAATAAAAGAAAGTATGAAAATGGTAACGTTTCAAACTTTTATTATATTTAATTATTAAAATCTTGATTTTTAATTATTTGGTATGCAATGAATCTGGAAAGCTTGTATGAATATTATATCAACTTTAGGAATGAAATCGTGGGTTGAGGTTGGAGAAAAAAAAATTAATGTTCATGAAACTGTATTAATATGAAAAAGTTTCATTGTAAAATGACTTATTTTCTTCTTCAACGCATATGGTATATATAAATGAAATAGGTTCATGATGGTAAAACATTTTCATTTTCTAATTGATTCGTGATTCATGAACTAGTTTCATGGTGATCAATGTTGCATTGTAATCGAAGTTGATCAGTTTAGTTGGTAGAATGAA